TAACAGAGTAGTTGCTCCCTCTTAAAGGGAGCATGCATCAAACAATCGTTTTATTCTAGTAACTTCGTGTTCACCACATATCGTGATATCACCCCGAGAGAAACCAACACTTGCCTTCACTCTATCTACTTCCACTACGTTGCCTCATTTCACATCCCTATCTCCAACCATGCCTTTCATCGACCTCCCAAATGCAAAATTGCACTACGAGATTTTCGGTACTTGCCGTTGCTGCTTTGCATCCCCGGTGCAGACGGCCGTGGAGCTGTCTTCCACGACGTCGCCAAGCACCTCTCACGCAGCTTCACAGTCGTGTGTTACGACCGCTGGGGCTACTCTCAGAGTCAGCACGTTGGCGCACAAGATTTCAAGAATCGACTCTCAGTTGATGCCGATGACGCCAGTGCCTTAATCACCCACCTCTCTACCGAACCCGCCGCCGTATTTGGGACATCTTCCGGTGCTATCGTTGCCACACAGCTACTGATACAACACCCGGACCGAGTGCGTACTCTTGTCGCCCATGAGCCTCCGGCATTTGCGCTGCTGCCTGAGCAGTTCCGTACTCAAGCCGCCGGCCTCGTCGAGCATATCTACAACCTTTACCGCGAGCAGGGCGTGCAGGCAGCCATGGAGGTTTTCTCCGGCGGCTTATCAGCAGGGGACGACGGTGCGAGGATGAGATTCTGCATGGATCCTACACGCGGAGACGAGATCCGCGCAAACTCTATGTTCTGGTTTGAGTTTGAGCTGCGCCAGTACACATCTGCCGCGCTAGATGTGGAGCGTATCGCAGCCGAGAAGGCAAAGTATATCCCTGTTGCTGGGAGTACGTCTGGGGATGGGCCTGGAGTTGGGCCAATCGCACTGCTTGCTGGCATGCTTGGAAAGGAGGTGGTGCGGCTCCCCGGAGGCCATATCTCGTATATGTATGATTCCGAGGTCTTTGCTGATGCGTTATTGGCATTGTTGGAGAGTGGGCCAAGAAAGTAGGGGAATTATAATGGCAATGTAAAAATAAGCTCTATCGTTTATATAAGTGAATAAAAGCAGCTTATCATGTTCTCTTAGCTGACGCTGTTTGGCGTTTACCTTATCTCCTCAACTGTTTGCAGGAAATTTGTGAGGCCAAGTAGCTACGTTATTCTCGTCATGGCCCAGGTGTCTCTTGTCTAATAGCCCCTCTACTGGTATTTTGCTCCAGCTGCTCTAGTCTGGAAAGGGGTTTGGAATTCCTACGCCTCGCTTTTAGATTGTACGGAACCAGGTTCACCGGTACCGGTATGACAGTTGCTAACTCCCCGTTAGCTAAGCTATCACGACCTTCAGAAGTATGGGGCAGGCAGTGACTTGCAATCTGCTCTTTGGACAGTGGCCAGGACGCGAGATCGACAAAATTGTACGTGAAGTAACGACCAGTCTGACGATTACGGATGATGAGGGCTACGTCAACATCGCAGAACTCTGCTAGCTCGTCGGCCTTGTGAATCAAGGTAGAGTCCCGTCTGCTCAACCTTTCGCTTCTTCTTTTGGATGGTTTGACAGCCATAATGAAGGATGATATTATTTCAAGATTAGGAGAACTAGCAGTATTCTTGAAATTGTTTTCCGGAAGACAATTTCTTCTGAAAGAGCGTGTCTTCTGGATGCAGCTAGCTTCTGGAAAACTGTGTCCAAGAGATAAGCTCGTCTTGAAGACTAGGTTGAGAAGACCCCAGTCTTTAGACGACGAATGTCGTAACTTCGCGCTTGCCCAGTTCTAATTATATCCGGGATCGACGAGGAGCTGTATCGGGTCGCTTCACCAAGCGTCCACACGGCCCCAAAATGCCCCATTCTATAATCGAAACAACTTTAAGTCTCGATTTTATTCCTCTAATCAATAAGCAACTCAATACACAGGCTTCGGATCCAGAAAGAAATCAGTGCTCAGGCAATCGAGGTCCCAATCAAAGCTCATGTCCACGAACGGCGTGCCTACAAGATCGGCGGCATCTTGCACCGATAGGTCTGTATCGTTAAAACGGTCAGCAGGTTGTTCCTTCTAACAATCCGTACTCTGTCAGCAAGAGAGAGATATTACTTTCTCCAGCCCTGCTAATATCTAACTCTCGAATCTTTTCACGACAACTCTCCAGTTTCTCAACGTGTTCACAAGCCTGCAGCTGCACTTTATTGCCCCGTAGTGTCTGAATGGCCTTTTGCCAGGAGGCCTGATACGGCTCGCTGGTCAGATCGATACCCCCGCTACCTTTGGGGTGAAGAGCCGCTACTAGAAGATTGCTAGCCGCGGCATGGAGAACTGTGGGGCGGGGTTAGTGAGTTGCTTGAGAGGTGGCCTTACGATGAATTCTCTTACAGTAAACGGCATGGCAACTAGGGGTTTGCGGGCGATCTAGCTCAGAGTTGTAGATTGTGTAGATAGTCTGCTGGGCAGTAGAGATGAAAAGGCTTCGTATTTCTTGGAGCGTGTTTTGGTCTAGTGAGAAAGTGGTGGCAGAGTGGATTCGTTTGAACAGCCACGGTCGGAGGATAAGGAGGCGGATGTAATGGACTCTCAACTAAGATCAGCCAAAGCGTACTCTTCAAACGGAGCGTTGTACAGACCTGCAATGCAGAGTTTGGGCTTGATCGGCGCCGTTGCAGCATCCATGGCAGAGATGGCATCGACGAAATCCTTGGCATTGTCGCACGGCTTGCCCTCGTACGACGCCGTGCAGATGGCAACTGGCTTGGTGGTGGAGAGCTTGCCGTTTCCGGCGAGCCGATCTAGCTCGCCAACGGTGGTGGCGAAGCCGCGTGCCTTGCCCTTAGAAGAGAGTTCTTTCGCGAGAATCTCGCACGACCACTGTTGCTGCCGTAGAGGAAAGTGAGACGGGCGCCTTCAGCTCCAGCTGAAGGAGCAGAACCAGTGGTAGACGACAACCGCGATACCTGTTTTTGTTGTGGTTGTTGTTCTTTCTGCTGTGTCACGTTAGCAAGACGCACACCGACAAGGAGCTCATGGAGCAGATTCTGGTTGCGGAAGTGTGGCTTAGCGATGATCTTGAAATCATCAGGCTTGATGGTGAGCGTCTGCCTGAGGCGCAAGGTGTACGTCGGGTCGGACATCTCGAGGTCAAAACGGTTGACAATGATGGCGAGGGCGAGGAGCGCCTCCTGAATGGCGAAGCCTCTTCCGATGCAGGCGCGCTTTCCGTTGCCGAAAGGCTTCCACGCATTGGGTGGCAACGCCTCGAACTTGCCATCGAGCATGCGCTCCGGCCTAAACTCTTCTGCGTCGTCGCCCCACACCTTTGGGTCGCGATGGAGCTGGGTGAAAAGAAGGACAAGCGGCTGCCCCTTCGCAACGTGATATCCACCGGGCAGCGTCTCGCCTGCTGGTGACTTGGCAGTCACCGAAAT